GTCTTGTGGAACACGACTTTTGTGAGATTAAGCTGGTATTAATCTCATAGGAGCAGGGTTCTTACACTGTTTTGATCAAACCTTAAAGATGTTATACACAATGTTGTGTCATCTCACACGATGCCTTAAGGCAGGGCTTTTCAACTGGTGGCCCGAGTGACCAAAGTTTGGCCCGCCAACTTGTTCATTCATCTCTTAAACCCAAAACCCCGGTTTTCTACTTTAATTACTCTAAGTTATTTTAGTTCAACCTAGACATGTGCAGTATCTACAGAAACATCAGAATCTTGGCTACAAGCTGGTAAAAACATTTCTATGAACATCAAAGTCAGTTAAAACTACAAGAAGTTGAAGATAAAACTATGAATGTGAAAATAAAATTGGTTTAAATTTTTGGCAAGTCAGAGATGTCAAAATATTTTGTGGTAAATAAGAGGCATAATATGTTTCTTTTTTTTTTTTGTTTTATCATCACTACATTTATTATATAGGGTTCTGTATGTTTTCATGATTAAATACAGCAAAATAATCTATTTCAGATGTAACAGATCTTTGTAATACTTAGTTTATTTACATAACTTTAATTGCTGGTTGTACGGCCCCTGAGCTGTTGGTCTGCATTAACTGTGGCCCCCGGAGCAATTTAGTTGAATAGCCCTGCCTTAAGCTTGAAGTGAGGGAAGCACCAAGCAATTGGCCTGAAACTAGTATCKGCCATTTATTTTACCTTGATCGGCTGAAACTCGTGACTGGCCAAACAWTTAAATGCTTGTGCTCCTTCCGTGTGGTTCAAGACACCTTTGTATTCAGACTACTGTAAAACTGTATCCATATTTGCCACTTAGAGATTTCTGTTTGAATGTCAACCCTGACTCCAGCAACACAAGTTTAATTTTGTAACAATAAACACTTAGAATTAGTGATTTACCTTTGAAAATACTATATCTTGGTACAACAAATACCAAGCATAAATATGGAATTTATTACTCTGCAAATAAAGTATAAAGATTATTTTACAGCTTCACCATACAAACAATTCTATTTAACAATATTACCAGCTGTTAGTTCTCCTCCTAGTTAAACAATGTCTGATGTATCACCTGTTGCTGAAGACTGCTGAGTGTCCGAAACGGTTGACATCAAGGTAGAGGYTCGGTCGAGGAAGCACTGTCCACTCATCGCAGGCTGAAATGAGAAGATGATCAACAGTTTAGGKTGTTGACCTGCACAACTGCCCAGTTATTGCAATGCTTGTAACAAGTCATCTGCTCAAGTCAGTCAAAGGTGAGCAAAGTTTCCGTGGTTGAAATTTAGGGAGTCTTGCTGCAATAATGATAAGCAGGCTTTTTATAAAAGAGCAGTGTCTTAAATAGGATGAGTGACAGTTATTCAGACAGCTAAAGTAGAGTAAATTAGACTTAATTTATTTTTTCTGAGGGAGAAAGATATTCAGATTATGTGATGAGAAAGCTCTGATATATAAAAATGTCTCAGACATGGTTAATACCAACGCCATTCTGAGTAAATGTGTCAATGTAAACCAGCTGATCACCAATATATAAACTTATCTTGATTAGGAAAAGTATGTTAAACCAAATATTCAAATCTGATTGACAGTCCAGTGTCAACTTATTCAGCCCCCTACAGGCCACATTAAGACCGCACTGGGATGTGGAAAATAAATAAACAAACACTGAAATCACGGATGGCAAGATCAAAACTACAAATTCAATTAATTACTCTGCCCTGCCAAAGTTGACTGTTAAAAAATAAAATTGTTCATTCTGATTTTTGGAAAAAAATTGTGTTTTAATTGAAAAATTAGTCGATACGTTATAGTAAAAACAGTTGTTAGTGGCAGCCCTGGATGTCAACACGAAAAACATCTTTATCAGTGTTCATCAAACAAAGAACTGAACATGGTAACATGAGGTTGGCTTCTAAACAAGACAATGTGTGCGACGCTGGAAACAACAGAACACTTTTTTGTGTGCCTCAACACAGCAGTCACACATCACACTCAGTCTGTACAATGCAGTGCAAGTCACCTTGGTTTTCCACAGCAGGGGAGGGGAGGGGGTGCCAGTGAGTGCTCTGCATCCATGTGCAGTCAGTGCCATCTGCTGTCAGACGGCAGTAATACAGGTGGTGCAGTGCACTACCTTTCTAAGAGAGGTTTATTCCACAACGATCAATGTCAGGACCAGGAGGCCCATAAATTTTACCCTTCAATTTACTTCAGCTTGTTAGGAGTAGGCAATTAGCTCTCGATGCTTAGCCCATCTCAAATGTAATTACCCAACAATTACCAGAGGTGCTGCTGCCAACGTCAACCCTGCAGCTCAAGTGGGGTGGGTGGGAGGTGAATTACACAGTCAGGACCTTTCTTTGATTAAAAAAAAAATAGATAGATGACGGTGAATGTCAGGAAAAAAGACACAGGGTAGAGCTGACAGGATAAAGTGTTTTGCACTCAAGACAGACTAAAAGCAAAATGCTCCAATAAAAACCTCTAGGTAATATTGCAGCAAACATATGGGACATATTAATAAAAAGATCCATCTGTGTGTGTTTGTGTCTCATTAGTCATTTAAAACTTGACGGAATATGCCAGGGATCTTTTCGTACCGAAAAGTAACCCAAGAAAAGAGAAAAGCTGCTTGCAGGGACTCTTTGAAAAGGGATGTTTGCCCCAGAATCTCACGGTGTGTGCTACTTGACTACCATCTTTCTAACGGCACAGAAAACCAAAATACCTTGAGATCATTTTGCAACCTCTAGAGAAATCTCCCATAAGTCTCAGGAGGAATAATAAGCACAGAAAAAGGAGGTCAACTTCATTTACAACAGTTTCAAAAAAAGCAAGACTGCCAGATGGTTAATGATGAAGCTCTGCTAACTGTTACTGTGGCACAGAATGTTCAATATAAATGTAATAAATAAATAAAAACAGAAAGCTTATTTTAACTTACTTTTATGCAGATGCATTTGCCTGAGTCACCAGACTGTTTAGCTGCCAAATGACAAAATCTGTGTCTAAAACCTCAGCAGTTAGAAAGAGATGAGCAAGAACCATGTGACTTGAGGTCACCTCTTCAGAACTACTGGTTAGAATACCAGCCTGATGAGTTGATACTGAGTAGCTAATACATAATTTCATCCGCTAAAAGGATGTTATATAAAATCTGACCTGATCATTTTTATAGCTCATAGAGCTGGGTGGTATACTGGTTCGTAGAGCTGGGCGATATGATCAAAATTTTATATCATGGTATTTTCAACATTTTCACCGGTTTCACGGTATTTGACGGTATTTTTCTTTTCATCGCAGCTCAGCTGATAATAAAATGTACAAACCCTGCTTATTGACTTTTTTTCTTTTACTGTACCTCTGTGTGTGTCTCTGTTTCCCTCCTCTGTGTCTGTTCTTCTCTGACTGGTGGTTGGAGACAGTAGTCATGCATTTTGGTCCAGTCGTGAAGGAGGAGGGTTAAGAAAAGGTTATGATCGGGTTTATTGTTTTATGTTATTTATTAAAGCTTATCAGCACGACTCACCTTGCACACCAGTCAATTCACTAAACTACTTCCTGCAGGCTTTTCACAATAGAACCAAGTTAAGTCTCCATCAGCATTACGTCTCCCTATTAACTAATCACGTTAAATCTAACTGCACGTCACTGAAGAGGTGTTTACTACATTCAGCGAYGGCGAAAACTGGATGTTTTTTTAAACATCAGTCAATATAAGCAGCAGAATCGCCACCCGCTGCTGCAACTAGCTGCTTCAAACATTAGCATGCTAACGCACATAGCGGTGCAGCAAGGTAAAATATCCCCCGGGAAACAACAGTTCACTGGCGGCCGCGACGAAACGTTCCGCTATTTAAACCGGAATGTCCGGTATTCAAAAAATTCATATAACAAAAAATAAAAACTGGTATTTGGTACAAAACGGTATACCGCCCAGCACTACTGGTTCGTACCGAAAACTGTTTTTTATTTTTGTTATATGAATTTTCTGAATACAGACACACCGGTTTAAATAGTCTGAAAATGTTTGTAACATTACGTCGAACCCTCTAGTGAACTGTTTCATGGGGGACACTTTTCCTCGCAGCACCTCTATGCGCATTAGCAAACTGTTATTGTTGGAGCAGCTTCTCAGTAACTGGTGGCAGGTGGTGATTCCACTGCTTATAGTGACTGACGCTAAAAGAAAAAAAAACTTACCGTTTTYGCCRTTGCTGAATGTAGTATACACCTCTTCAGTGAYGTGTACGGATAGATTTCATGCACATTTGCCCGATTGAAGATGTTAATTAGCTTCTACTGTGAAAAGCCTGGGGGGCGTCAGGCGGAAGTAGTTTTGTATTGGGGTTTAGTTGACTGGTGAACGGAGGCTGAGTTAAGCTTTATTGATTAACATAAAATGATAGACCTGATAATGATCTTTACTCAAACCTCCTCCTTCATGACAGGACCAAAATGTCTGACTACTGTCTACAACCAGGCGAAGAAGAAAAGACACACAGAGGAAGGAAACGGTGACACAGACAGAGGTACAGAAAAAGAAAAAAGTCAAGAAATTGTTTCTGTGTTGCAGAAAGAATGTAAGTTCAGGTTTGCTAATCAATAAGCAACGTTTGTACATTTTATTATCAACTGAGCTGTTATGAAAAGAAAAATACTGTGATATAAAATTTGGGTAATACCGCCCAGCACTTATAGCTCATATCCAAGAATTACCTTAAAGTGTCTGTGACATCAAATTGCTGTAATAAAGATGATCACATTTTTTGCAAAGATAACATTGATAACACATTGCAAAAAACAATTCACACTGCTGAGATGAGCAGTTGTGGAGGTATTACATCATGCTAACGATGCTACATTCAGCACAGTGGATATCAGCGTCAAAATGAGCTCAAGAGTGGTGGGTGAACAATCGTCCACAGTTGGAAAAAGAAGCWGAAGAAAAAGTTCCTACGAATTACTACWGCAATTCAGTGTTGTGAAGGTGGTTCGGCTATGGAAGGTCYGATAAACTTCAGCTTTCAGTCTGCTGCAAAGTGTGTCGGAGTGGTGTCAATTCTCAACAGGAACACATCAAATCTGTTCCACCGTCTGATAAAGTTCCACTCCACAGAACATTCTGGGTGTATAAAAATGAAGCCCCCTAAAAGTTTAAGCCCTCTTCCTAAAACAACATCTCCCTGTCAGCAGCTTTGTYGAGCAAAGTGAATTGAAAAAGATGCCGCAGAACACAGATGGGTATGGCAGGCCATTGTGGCATAAAATYGGCTTCACCACACTTAAATTCCAGATATGTGAAATTAGTTTATGACTAGATATATTAGTTAATTGAGAGATCTATCAACAATTAAATTATGACTAGCCATAAAGTAAAATTTAGATAGCTCGCTCTTTGTTCTGACTAAACATATTTTAATTGAATATATCTTAAATGACATAAGGTTTGTAGGTACAGTAAATATTGGTGTTCTTGGCAGTTTTTCTGACATTTTATTATTCATTWCATACTCGACCGTAATTAGGCGTTATAGCGTGATACAAATTTTAGCCATATCACCCAGTCCTACTGTGTACTATGCCAAGTTTCTTAAATATAAAGATGTTTTTGTTGACTTTTTGCATTTGATGCATGTCACAGACAAAATCTGAATGCAAATAGGGCATACTGGCAAATGCTTGTGTTATTCATTAACTTTCTTTAGGCTGTAATTGTGCCTTGTTAATGCGTTAGCTTTAGAAGAGGGGTAAGTACAGCAAACAGTACATAGTAAGCCCATCAATWAACTAATTACAATTAAAATAACTGTATGTAAATATACTATTGCATCTATAATATAATCATTATTAGAAAATATGTGATAGGATTTAGGTAGCAGTAGCAATTGTGTTTCCATTTCTGATTTTAAATATAAATAAATAAATAAATAAATAAATAAATAAATAAATAAATAAATAAATAAATAAATAAATAAATAAATATCAAGAAACCCTAATGTTTTTGCTTAAAGTAATCATCTAAATATCATACTGGCCCATGTCTCGTCTCCAATAATTGTATACTTCCTGGGCTTTAAATTTAAAGATAAAGCTTATGTTTACAGCAGTATAAACTAAAAGGGGTTTTTAACAAACTTTAAACAGTCTGGTAGTAAAACTCTAAAATTCTAATAAACAAAAAAGTAATAAAAAATGAAGTAACTTGCACATAACTATAACAGAAAAGAAATGCCTAAAATCCAACAGCTGTAATTTGTTCATTATTTCTGCATCAAGTTTCAACAAACCTAAGGGTTCATTGTGATACAAGTGCATGAAATATCACATTTTTGTTGATGTTCTTAGGATTTCTGATGATTAATGCCATTTGTTTCTCTGTTTACTTGTATGCTAAAATCAGAAGCCTAACAGTAATTTAGTAATATTTATTACCTTTCATACAGTGAAAAAATATTGTGACATTTTTGTTAGTTTGATCCTGGGGTTAAAAAGCTGCTGGCAGACAACTCAAATATTAGCTTTCACACGTAAAATATGCGGTGAAGAAAAACAAATAATGCACACTCAGCAGGGTGCAGGCTGTTGCAGAAGTGTGTGTGTGTGTATTTGTGTGTGTACTGACCCAAGCTGTACGCCAAGAAGTCAGAGGAGAAACACTTGGCACCGTGGCTCATGGACGTATCATTGTGTGTGTTTCCTCCAAACACCAACATCGTTCCGCTCACCATCACTGCCGTGTGAAGGTAACGGAAAAAGCCACTGTCTCTCAAAATGGTCCTGTAAAAAAAAACACAGTGACAYGTTTGGAAGGAGTTTAGCTGCTAAATATTTTTAAATGTTTCCTGTAGAAAAGAACTGAACTAAATGTCAACTGAGTTTCCTCTGGCCGGTGACAGTTTTAAAATATTATGGCAGCCAGTGGTTGATGTACAACATCACATTTTTTTCTTCATTTTTAACAAAATATTGGAACGGGCTATTCAACTGGCAGCCTGAAAGTGAGCTCAGCCCAGCCCATTGATGAGCTCATTAAAAAAATAAAATAAAAAACAAAAAATGGGGGTGGGGGGATTCAGTGGGAGAAAAATTTATAAGGCAGGCTTGTTCTGTAGAGGTTTTTAAAGCTAAGTTAGAGACGCACCTGCTCAAATTATCTTACTTGTCTTAATTTTATCTTTTGTTTTTTTATTGTTTTGACCTGTTCTGTTATTTTATCTCTTGCCTTCTGTGTTTTTATCTTGCTTTTTGTGATTTTTTTTCTTGCTTTTTGTGAATTCACCTCTTGTCATTTGTGATTTTGTCTCCTGTCCAGCGCTGTTTGAAAGTGCTTTATAAATAAAGTTGTTATTATTATTATTGTTGTTGTTATTATTGTTATTATTGTTATTATTATTATCATTATCATCATCATCATCATCATCATTATCATCATTATTATTATAAAATAGGAAGTGACAAATATTTCTGTCTGACAGGTATATAAATGATCAATGACAGGACTATACAACTTAGTCTGCCTGCTAATGAGTTCATTTACTTTAAAAATAGATTTAAAATCATAAATTAAATGTAAGTAATGACAATACATTCTGAATAGCTGGCTCCTGAGCTGTTAGTTTTCAGTAACTGTGGTCTCGTATGTTGTTTCGTTGAATATTTGTGCTTTACAAGACCTTGTAGTCATAAAAATAGAAAGGTATCTCACTTAAAAACTTGTGGGCAACAGTAAGCTGGTTGTAGCAGATACTGCTGCATTTTCATATTCTTACTTGGTAATCGAATAAAAACGCACTAATTTGATTGATGGAAGTTTTTTTAACCAATTAAATTAACTGGTCTATCCCAGTATTATCAATTCCTGCTTTGGGAAGGATTTGACCTTTTATTCTGAGTCTTTCACATTTATGTTATAAAGTGTTACATCTACTTATTAAGTGAAGGAACACCTTGTCTTGTCCTAATATAAAATAGACTACAATATAAACTGCAAATCTTTAGCAAGAATATGAACGTATTCAGTTTTAAACAATATGAACCATGCAATAGTCCTGAATCATAAAGTGATTGCTAACATTAGCCCTTGTTAAGATGTCCATGATGAAGTATTGTTTTTATGATACGCTGAAACTGTCCGTGTTCAGATAARCGTCATAATTGTGATGTAAGGTGCAGTTTGTTGTCCAGACATCATTCTTTGAGCTATTTGTTAGCATTGTATGGGTGATCTGCTGYATAACTGCAGGGACACATTAAAAACTAACATATGTCACTACAAAATCCTAATGTGCCAGCACCACCAAAATGATACGCCTCTACCAAAATAACTCACCATTTCCTCTCGTCCACGTTGAACTTGTAAAGGTCTCCAGCTAAACCGTACTTATTGGCACTGAAGGCCTTGTATCCTCCATGGATGTAGATAGCTCGAGTGCTGGGGTCAAACACACTGCTGTGGCCGTATCCACCTTGAACCAGMGCACCATCTGTGCTCACAACACTCCATGTGTTCAGTGCTGAAGGATCACATAAAAAAACTTACTGAGCAACTGAATCATCAAAATCAGAGGTCATTTGTCATGAGCACAACTACCACAGAGGTAAGAGACATAAAGTAAGTTGAGTATTTATTTTTCCCCCTTTTACAACAACAGGATTGGGTGCTTACCAAAATTGTATTCTTGCACTTGGCTGATGTAACCATAAAGAGGACAGTGTCCAAACAGAACTAGCATAACAGGACCGTCCCCCTCCTTAGGCACGATATGGGCCGAGTGTCCCACCACAGCGTACTGGTCCTGCACCCGAGGGTTGAGGAGGACCCACGTTTGGTTCTGGATGTGGAAAACCCACAGCTGGCTAGACACATTTCCAGTGGAGTCAATTTTTCCTCCATACATGAAGATTTTCCCCTGGAAGAAACAGAAATAAGCAAATGTTAAAAACCACAATTAAACTGTAATTTTGATCAAACTAGAATATTTTGCTCTTGCGAAAGACGTTCTGTTGCCTTATAAAGGTAACTGCGCATAACTCCCATGAGAGTAGACATCTGACAGATTACTAAAAGACAGAGCCACCAGAGCAAAGTCAGCAACAACAAGTAGGATGAATATGCACTTGTGCTGGGGAAAAAAAATCTAAATAGCTTTCACAATAGTTAAATAGTAAAAACTCAGGTATATATAGCCATGTAAAAGTAAATCAATATTTTTTCAGATCCATGCGAGGCTTGGACATGCGAGTGTCTGAATGACTGAACAGGATGAAAAAACGAGATCCAAGATATAGAGAATAAATCCTCCAATTATGATGAAGTTCTATGTGAATGTGTCAGACAGGAGAAACCCATAAAAACTGTCTGTGTGTAAAGACTTTATCAGAACTTCAAATACCTCATGCAGAGCTAATGAGTGGCCATATCGGGGGGTGACAGTGTTGACGGAGGGGTCAAGGCTCAGCCACGTTTTGCTGGTGAGGTTGTACCTACAGAAAACGAGAGAGAGAGGGAAAAGATGTGCAATCAGCATGACAGCAAAGTTACTGAATGATGAGTTTTCCTGCTTTCTAATTTCCTGTATTTGCATTTCATGTGTGTTGATTTCTGCGTATTTACTACAGCCCCACAAATTGTTGTTTGTGAGCAAATGAGATTATATCTAAGAGCAACAAGGAAAGATGAACACATCAGTTGTGTCTGCAGAAGACAACTTCATTCCACACCATAAATAACAAGGAAAATGTGTCTTCAGGTGTATTCACTCCTGAAGACACATTTTGTCCTCTTTATACAGACCAGAGTTCGTTTCCCCCGTTGCTCTGGACCTTTTGTGCAGGTGTGAATACACTCATGCAAATCCTGGTGTGAACCAAACAACCAAACAGAGACCCAATCACCATTGCTGAGCATCATGGTAACAATTAGCCCTTCAGTGTTGCTAACACTACTACTACACTACACTACACTACAAACAATGAGCCATTGTGGGTCAGGGCACGCAGAGCATCTCGTCTCCTTTGGGTTGAAGCATGTATTTGCCGACGCCGTCCCAAAATTACAAGTATATCATTGTGAAGCACCTTTGAATGAGCTGCTCTTGAAATTCTACATGGTACTGCATTTGTGCTAACAGCACCATCATTCTTTCTGGGTCTGTACGCTGTCCTTCTCCTGTCATTTCTGTCCAGTGGGAGCAATTCAATTCAGTTTATTTATATAGCGCCGTCACAACATAGGTTGTCTCAGGGGACTGTACATGAAAAAAGAACAATCTAAAGAAGAAGCAGCCAGCAGATTGCGTTGAATCACTTCATCACAGTCTCCCATCCTGAGCCAACAGTGGAGAGGAAAAACTCCCTGCTAATCAGGAAGAAACCTCCAGCAGAACCAGGCTCATGACAGGCGGCCATTTGCCTCGACTGGCTGGTTGGGGGACAGGAAAGAGACACAGGTAAACACAGAAGAACTGGTCCAGGTGCACCKTCTAATGAAGCAATGACCGTTACCCACGTGGCTTTGTTTATACATTATAGTCCACTTGTAAAAGAGAACAACATGAATGCAAACCACACCAAATATATCTCTCATCCTGACGCCTYCTTGCTCATCTCCAAACTTGGCAATATCCCTCAGTGTATCAGCATGGCGGGGTTTGAACTTTAATCGCAGTAATGGCAGACATAACAATAAAACAAGGAAAATACAGAAACCATTGTAATAATTAACCTGGGAGTGTCTACATTGGAACGTTGTCATCTACATTTTTACTGTAAATAGACCTGCTGAAAGAGTAATTCCTTATTAAAAAAAATACTGATTCCAAGAAGTAGTTCTGGAATACTATTTCCCAACAGATGTAACACCCAAATAAACTGTCACCAAAAAGTGGCCTATCACCAAATCACCTTTTTCCTATGGGACCTCCTGCTGCCATCTCTTTCCCAAATAAACCACAAGTAGAGCCACCCTCACTAACTGCGTTTCCATTGTAAATGTGCGTAAAACTTTGTCGATATTCTATTAATGTCGAAAAACAGTTTCGCAACTGTGGTGTTTCCATTAAATAAGAAATGCTATTAAAGCCACGMGTGAATATGTTTGTTCTCTCAATAAGTCATTACAAACATGGCAGCAATGGATGTAAACACATAGCATGTTGCYACCACGACACTAGCGCTCATCATCAGAGGAGACGTCGGCATCTTTTATCGAGGCTTTCCAGCGACAAGCCCCTACTTGGGAGCGGCTACGTATGCTGTGTTTTTGGGAGACTGTGGTCAGTGAGACTACTTCTGTGATATTACTACTACTTACTTCCTGTTATCTTCTTCATCGTCGTCTTTTTCGCCAGTAGAAACAGACGGTTCTTGATCACGTGACTCCCGTGATGCGAAAAAAGTGTTTCCATTGCAGTTTTGCGAAAAACACCAATTTTGATACGGTCGAAATACCACCTCATCCTAGCGCAAAAACATTCTGTCGAAAAATTCAATTCAATTCAATTCAAAAATACTTTATTGATCCCAGAGGGAAATTAGGTGTTGTTGTAACTCATTTAACTAAAAACTTATTGTAGATGCTGATGGCTGTGGGCAGGAAAGATCTTCTGTAGCGGTCTGTATTACAGCAAAGTTGAAGAAGCCTCCGACTGAAGACACTTTGTCTTTCTATGACTGTCTGATGAAGAGGATGGTCAGGGTTGTCCACAACATTCTTGATTTTATGTAAAATCCTTCTTTGCACCATCATCTCCAGAGATTCAACAGTCGTCCCCAGAACAGAACCAGCCTTCTTTATCAGGTTGTTTAGCCTTTTTAGGTCCCTGGCTCTGATGCTGCTACCCCAACAGATGATGGCAGAAGAGATGACGCTTTCAATGCCAAACTTGTTGAAGATCTGCAGCATCTTGCTGCAGACTTTGAAAGATCTTAGCTTCCTTAATAAGTACAGTCTGCTCTGTCCTTTCTTGTAGACTGCTTCACTATTG